CTCACTGGTCCAACATGTTGATCTTAATAGACCAATACTAATTACAGCCCTCCCTAACCATTGGAAGATAGGCTTCATGTAGAACATTGAGTGTTTATGAGCTGCTATATATGAATAAACTTGTTATCAGTTATGTGGTTTAGTTTCTATGATAGCTTTGATCCGCAAACCTATAAAATGTATTAGGTTTATATATGCCAAAAAATTAAAATTCATTGTTTCATAACATAGAATTTTGTGTCTATGTTTTGATATTGAGATATTATTGGAAAATTATGTTGACTATGTCTTTTACTTTGCAGGTTCAGGTCATGTGTGCAGTACCTATTTTGGAACAAAGCCACCCTCCCCTTTGATATAGTGCAGGATATTCAATTTCGTAATGAAGTTATGCCGCCAGGTACAGTCCAACATCCCTCTTTTACATGCTCTAACCGCATAACAATCAAAGTAGCGAAAAATATACAGAATACGAGGATTATGTATTTTCTGCAGTCTACTTTATTGAAGTCCTGATGCCTTTATTGATGGCATTCTCTTGGCGCTGTTTACCTTTGAAAAGGAACCGAACGTCACAGTCCTTTAGAACTGCATTTACTAAATTCCCCTGTAATGCTGTCCTTATTTGCCATGTTCCTTCATTATGGAGTTGATGACACGGCATCAGAGCACTTCTTCCTTAGTGTAAAAAACCAGTACCTGCAGGAAGGCAGGCATCATCATAAGACACTAAAAATCATGCGAAAAGAGTAGGGCTTTACTAGGTGTAAATCGGGATAAAGTATCTTTAAACAAGATTTTATTGTCTGATTGTTACAGTGCTACATTTTTTTTGCTTTTCATCTTGCAGTTTGATAGTTGCTGCAACAGAAATGGATGTGGGGACTTGGGAGTATAATTGAAGATTTCCTACCACTTTTATCATATTCTGCATCTTTTGCAATTTATCATCAGTACCTTCACGTGTGTTATGTCAACCTCAAGTTGGGAACTACAATCTCCTTTTGCTATAAGTTCTGAAAATTGCACGATCTGAATAACATGCATGTCTGCGGTGACAAGACACCATTGTTTTTCCAATGTGAATACTCGTAGCAAATTGCATTTTAACATTTTGATGGGTTCAAGTACCACTCAAATAGTCTTGAGGCTTCTATGGAGTTTGTAGATTAAAATATATAGGACTTATACATGGACAGTTTCCGATTGATATCCAGTGCACATATTTGTTTGATAATTTAGATAATATGTGGACAAACTATGAGTACAGCTACAATTAAAGATTATTTGTTCAATAAAATTGATCACTGTGGACCAAATTAGTAACCTTGGAATTTGGTTGTCATAAATGTATTGATTTCTTTTGGTGATACTCTTTTTTATGCATTCCGGAACATGATTTACCAGTACAAAACTTAATATTGAAAGTCTAATGTTTATAAGTAATTAACCTGAAAATTGTTACTTTAGTTAATTATGAAGAAAATATCCAACCATATATTGGTTCTTTGTTATATTGGAGCTTTGTCCTATGATATTTATATACGACATTGAAGCATTTGGAGCAGGTAAAGGAGTTCACTACATGTGAGAGCAGCATCTATACGTTGATGGGGAAGATTCACAAGAGGCTTAATATGCATGCTAAGGCCATGTTCTACTTTGGTATTGCATTGGACCTGAAGCCTCCAGCAGCTGATGTTTTGCTGCTATCAAGGTACTGCATTCAGATTTTTTTGTATGGTCTGTCCTTTCCCTTTATTATTTTCCTTTCTTATTTCAGATGCCTAAGGTTATCTTAAATGTTGAGATCTATTACGTTTTAAATTTATTCACGTACTTGTATGGCCTAAACTATTTTCAAGTACAAGTTAGATAAAAACTATAGGGTTTAATATGGATTTTATCCTCTTCCCGTCTTTTTTTAAGAGAAAAAGAAGGCAAGGTGACCTATTCATTGAAAAATATTAAAATATAAAAAACTTACAAGAGGGATGCGAACAGAACTTAAAAAGTCTCATATCCAAAAGTTTATATAACAGTTATAACAGGATGGGGAGCGGACAAATCGTCGTCGTCAATCACCACAAGCTAGGATATAACAGTTGATATTTCCCCCTTAATTTAGACATGGAATTTTGAAGCCTTCCAACAAAAGCATAACCTGAACATCAGCCATCAACATACTTTACAGAAAAAAACCAAATAAAGCAAAAAAAATAAAAATAAAAATAAAAATAAAAGAAGAAGAAGAAGAAGCAAGGCTTAAAGGAATCTTTGGCACAAATATGACGATGGCCGAGTTCAAGCGCCAACCTCTAACCTGAACTCTGCGATCCATTTGCAGAAACAACCCACAAAAAAAAATATTGGCATCACAGCAGAGCCCTTCGTCTTCCTCTTCAAAAAAACCAAAGTTCTCAGTCTACCAAAACCATAAGTTCTCCGTTGCTCTGACCGCCTGCAGCCTCCAGCCCTCCACCTCCGCCCTCCTCTTCTCCTCCGCCGCTGCCGTAATCGCCGGTTTCTCTCTCCACCTTCTAAGCTCCAGGTCCCACTCTAAAAACCCAACTTTTTTCGGGGTTCTTTTTGTAAAACTTTGATATCTTTCTTTTTTCAGGGAGAAGCAGTTGGTCTACAACTTGACCCAAATTCATGTTCCTCTCTCTACAGCTTGTAAGTACTGCTCAGAGTGAAAACTGTGTCTTTTTAAAGATGCCCACGAAGTGTTTGTGAAAATTCCCCACTGTTTTTCTACAGTTTTAATCTCCAAATGCTTGCAAGGTTTGATCACGTTGCTGCTTGTGCTGTCACTATCGGCTCTGATTTGAGCTTTATCGCTGCGTAAAACGAAGAAGGCACTGGCTATTGCTGCATCCATTACGAAGAAACCCGTGGAAAAGGATAATCTTTTAACTCAACGGCAACTTGGATTACTTGGGCTGAACCCAAAAGCAACTGAAAATGCTGAGGCTGAGCAATCGAAGAAACCACCCAAATCAAAACCCATTACTCCTCAGCGAACCTCGGAGACTCTGGTTCCGATTCGAAAACCGGGTTTCGGGTCTACCCCTTCTCGCCAGTCAAGAATTGGGTTGGATTACCAGAGCTCCAATAGTGCTAAGAAAACCCCAATATCACCAGTTTCAACTTCTCCTACTCGGGCTTCTCCGTGGTCGAGGCAGAGCTCAGGCAGTGCAAAGGGGATACTAACGTAAGAAATGTTAGAACAATACTTAGCTGATGTCGATGAGAAGTTCACTGAATCAGCAACTAAGTCTGTGATCACAACACCTCAATCAACCATTAGGGGCTTTGGCATTGCTAGCCCTGGATCGGTTGGCAGCTCAGCTACTGCTTCAGGCACAGCTCGAAGCACTCCATTGAGGCCTGTGAGAATGTCCCCTGGTTCCCATCAGAAGTATACCACGCCACCGAAGAAAGGAGAAGGAGACCTTCCTTCTCCAATGTCAATGGAACAAGCAGTTGAGGCTTTTGAGAATTTGGGTGTGTATCCTCAGATTAGACAGTGGGAGGATAGAATTAGACAGTGGTTTTCTTCGGTTCTGATGAACCCGCTACTTGATAAGATTGAAACAAGCCATATTCAGGTTAGTTGGAGTATATTTGTATGGTATAAACTATAAAGATACGGTGATTTGTTGTTCTTGAAGTATGTAGCTTTTATTTGTTTCTTTGGTCTTGTAGGTTATGCAAGCTGCGGCTGCTATTGGAATATCGATAACTGTTACTCAAGTTGGAAGTGACCCAGTGAGCATAACAGCTCCTGTTAATGTCTCCCCGATCGATGGAGCTAAAGAGTGGCAACCGGCAGTCACGGTGGATGAAGATGGGCTTCTTCATCAATTACGTGCTACACTTGTTCAAACACGTGATGGATCAATGTGTGAGTTGTTCTTATTTGTTCCACGGTTCTAGCATAAATGCAACATATCAGTGTGTATTTCAGCTATAAATTGTTTTGCCCCTAATTTGTTGACTAAAACAATTCATGTAGTAATAATGTTTCTTGAGCTCATCTGGATTTATTTGGTTGCATCTTTATTTGAGAAATTGTGGGATTGAATGGAAAAAGTGTTTCTCCAGATATAAAATTTACCCAAAAATCTGACACCTTGTTCGGGTGGAGGTTAATGGATGGAAGTTGAAGTGAAATTTCAATTTCACATTGTTTGGGAGTTTTTTTGAGGGGTTAGAGGATGTAATGGAAGGTTAAATTTCATTCCATTTTCCTCCCCTCCAATTTGGGGGGTAGAGGATGGAATGAAAACCAATGTAAAATTTTACAATGTAATAAGACAATTATATCCTTATGACATTAAAATCAATGGCTAAGATATACTCTCATTCGATATGTAAGGGTATTTATGTAACTTTATACATATTCACTTCAGTTTCCTCCTCTTTATTAGAACTCCCAAACAAGATAGAACAAATTTACTTCCGTTTCCCTTACTAAACTCCCAAACAATATTTTATCTTTTCACTTCCATTCCCTACCTTTCCTTTGCATTATTTAACTTTCCATCCCTTCCCTTAGTAAACTCCCAAACAAAGCGTTAAGATAAGGATTTAGGGATATATAAATCATTTAAATACCTAATATAATCATACATAATGTTTCTTATGATGTCCTGATTTCTTTCATGTGTTCATGTGATTCGATTTTGCATTGCAGCACAATTACTTCTAGCTGGTCAGCAACAAATACAGCAAAATCACCCTTTCTACAATTAGCAATTATTTTTTAGTTTTTCCCCTTAACTTCGAAGGGCCATGATGTAAAAGACTCTCATTTACTACCAAAAAGTATAAAAATTTAAAACAATTAGTGATCATTTTTTAGCTTCCCCCCTTAACTTCGAAGAGCCATGATGTAGAATTCTCTCATTTACAACTAATAAGGGATGATAGAATATGATTCTGGACATTTTAGTCAATTGGCTTGGCCGCATGCTTGGGCTTTCAGGCTATCTTCTGGAAAGCGGACTTTCGAGGTACTATTGAAGACAACCCATTCTTGAAGAAAGCGACGGCTAACCTCTAACATTGTATTACTCGTCTCAAATGTAACATTAATCATTCAGTTTAGTAGCTTTAGTGAGTCATCGAGTGGAACATTTGTACTGAGAGCATGACTGATAATGCATGTATAATGTTTGGACACTTACATCACAGGGAAAGGAACTGCATAAATGCAGAGAAAAGCAGTGCTTTGTTGGTAGATAACGGTTGTTTGCCTTCTTAACTTGTAATTCTTTTACATTCTTATAAGTTTCTCTCAAACGGTCAAATGTGTTCCATTTAATTTAAATCTAATCAGTATTGTTTTCTGCAACGAAAATTCAATTATGATAAATTAATGTGAGCCCTTAACTAGCTTACAAATTTGCATTGGCCCCCCAATCAATCAATAAATGTAATTTAATTGTTAAAATGTTGAATGTTTAGATTATGTCTATATGTTTTATCCATTACTTACATTCCATAATTTTATAACAAAACATTATAAATTAAATTATAAATTTTAAACAAAAAATGAAAACTTTACCACGTGCATTGCACGTGCAATCCAACTAGTATCTATAAATGAGCATCATGATTATCTATTACACTTGCTATCCCTGTAATTTTTCTTAGCAAACATCAAGTGATTGGTGCTTTTTTGTATTTGAGATTTCTGAAATTACTCATAATAACCAATTAGATGGATAGTTCAGACACACAAAAAGTATCATATCAAAAAATAAGCATAAAAATAAATACACGCGCATAATGTTTAATTATTGGTATAATATTATTTTGAAATGATTATACCATTTAAATAATATATTATTTGAACGCACGTGCGTTGCATTTAATAAATATTATACTTGCTTATCTTCATTAATCAATAAGTTTATCATGGTGAAATTATTTTAGGGGTTATGAATAATAATGCATTTAATTGAGGGTTATGTATACATGAGGTATAGTTTATGTATGGATGCATGTGTTTTATGTATGCATGTATGTTAAAATAATAGTATTAGAGGAAATGTTTTAAAGGGTATTAGAGGAAAGAAATGTTTTAACATACCAACACACTTTTATAATAATATTAGAGGAAAGAATCTTTCACTATAAATCATGCTAATCTCATCATGTTATAATAAGAGATAGTAAGTAGTGATTGGTTGTGCAGAGAATGAAATCAAAATAGGCAAAATCAGAACAAAGGGACGTTCAAGGATTTGAGGAGGTGCAATGGAGATGATGAGGGTGCATATGATATATTCATTTTGTAAGAGATTTGTTATGATTTATAGTGGTTTAGTAAGAAGATGAAGGATTGTTACGTTTTTTTTAATTATGATAGTGATAATTAGTGAGAATTATAAGAGACTAATATGTTAATGGGAGGTTACAAAAATATAAACAACTTAGTCATGGTGAAATTATTTTAGGGGTTATGAATAATAATGCATTTAATTAGGGGTTATGTATGTATGAGGTATGGTTTATGTATGTATGCATGTGTTTTATGTATGCATGTATGTGTTTTAAACGGCATTTTCGGAAGAAATGTTTTAACATACCACCACACTTTTATAATGTATGCATGTATGTGTTTTAAAGGATATTTTCGGAAGAAATGTTTTAACATACCAATACACTTTTTATAATAGTATAGTATTAGATTAGATTAGATTGTCAAAACCCCGAACTTATCAAAGTTAAACTGAAATTTACCCAATATTTACTTACCAAAAAAATTTACCCTAAATTTTATTTTAGACCAATATGTTTCTATTGTAATGTTGTAAGCCCAAGCCCATCACACGCTATGTCTAAAATAAACTAAAACACTGGGCGGTCCTCTTTGAAAGCAGCCCAAACCAAGCTACGAAGGACACTCATCTCTTCGTACGAGACTACCCAACCCGTGAAAAACCCCATCGAATCTAGGGTTTTAGAACTCGTCGGAGGAAGGAGAAGAGAGAACCGAGGAAATCTAAAAGGGGAAGAATCCCAAGGCGGCGAGATGAGCAGAAGCTTAGGGATCCCGGTGAAGCTCCTCCATGAGGCCGCAGGCCACGTGGTGACGGTGGAGCTCAAGAGCGGCGAGCTCTACAGGGGAAGCATGATCGAGTGCGAGGACAACTGGAACTGCCAGCTCGAAAACATCACTTACACTGCTAGGGTTTGTCCTCTTGCTTCAATTTTCAGTTGCATTAGGGCTTGGGTTCAATTTTTGATACCTTAATAACTCGAAAGTTGAAATATTGTTTGCATTGGAGCTGCTATAATCCCCATTTATAGTTGTTTAATGTTTTTTTATTAGTTCTAGTTTTAACGAAGGATATACGCATTAGCGGCCCCAAATCGCCAACTTTGGCGACATTGTGGTATATTTATCTATCACTAGTTTGAAGTGCGGAGAAATGCGAGGCGAATTGAAAAGATGGGAGAATTTTATGTCGAGGAATTGTGATCTTGCTCCAAGGAATGACTTTTTGCCAACCTTAATGCATGACACCTCCTCTTCTGCTCATGATAGTGCAATCTATTAGAGCTTGTTAAACAAAAATGAAGATGAAAAAACTCGTAGTTCCCTACCCTGTAAGACCTTTTTTACATACGATTATGGGATGTAACTTTCATCAGAGGTCCACTAACCTTCTCTAAGGGCCAGTTTGATATTTGCTTGTTCTTTGGCTTATTTCTTCAAGAAGCAGTTACTAATTGTGTTTTGTTAGTTTTTGCATGCTTATTGAAATTGATTATGCTTTTAAGGTGGTACTTTTAGAAGCAACCTGAGAATGCTTTTGAAACTAGCTTCTACTTTTTGTAGTTTATATGTCATATATGCCCTTTAGCTTTTGACAATATTTTTCACTATCAATAAGCAGAAACTATAGTTATGTGTATTTTGGTCATTTTCACTTGGTATGGTTTTTAAGCACAAGTTTACCAAACACCTTATCCGCTTTAGGAAACAACTTCTGATATATGATTACCAAATAATTATTTTCAGCTGTTTATATAGGTTGCTTGTATAAGCTGCTTATATAAGCAATTTATTATAAGCTCCAACAATACAAAACTGGCCCTAGGACCCTTTGCTAATTTCATGTGCCATAATTTTATAAATTGGCATGTGACATTTTTACATACCATAAAGAACTTCCGCGGCTCAAATTTAAGGTCTTGGATATGCTAACTTAAAAAGTGTGAAGAAAACACATGTAGAATACAATTTTGATGAATAAGGAAGAACTTTTGGTAGCACAGAAAGTTTACATGCATCACGAATAAGGTTATCCATAGAGAATAACATCGCCTAGCAGTGAGTCATCACTAAGGCTATTTGGGGCTATTGCGGCAAAATGGCGGTAAAAACGCAACGGGTCGTAGTGAATATCTAATTAGTATATATATATATATATATATAGTATATATTATATATATATTAATATATACTATTATAAAGTATTGTATATATTATATTAGTATTATATTTATATTAGAGGAGACGATGAGAGAGAGAGGAGCAGGAGAGAGAGGAGATTATGGGGTATGGCCTTGTCATAGGAGGAGATTTCCCTACTCTGTCCGTTTATGGGCACAATCCCTACCTGGCCTCATAGTCAGGGCTTCAAATTTCCACAATTCCAACAGGATTCTCTCTGTGGACTTTATGAGATGGTGCGTTTGTTCAGGCAGTAGCACCGCGGTTCAGGAGGAAATCCCTCTATGACATAGGACGAGATAACGGCATATATTATACTATAATATTATATATTTAGCTTATTATATATATATTATATATATATTATATAGTATATATATATTATAATATATATATTAGTATATATTATATGAATTAAAGAATATACAAAAATTTAGAAAATCAAAAAATGCATATTTGATGATTTAAAGAGATACTAAACATGAAATAGACATGTGACCGTCACATAATACCAAAGGCGAGTGGAGGAGTAGTCAAGGAGTCGTCTTCAAGAAGAGGAGCTGAGCGGTGAGAGGACTGCAGTAGGAGGAGCTCACGATGAGAGGAGGTAAGAGGAAGTGTTGAGGGAGGTGCCGGAGGTTGTGGGAGGTGGAAGGAATACGACAAAAATCGCGGGAGGTGGTGAGACACAGTTGTTGTTGGTTGGGTTCAATTAAAAAAAATAAACATCAAACCACTATTAAATATCAGTCAAAAAGCAAATTTTGCTCGCAATGACCCACTATTCACTATTATGGCACGCTATTAATAGCTTTTGCGAGTGAAAAATGCATGTTCTGCAATATGTCACTGCTATTAGGCGATAGCGTATCGGGAAGGGACCGCTAACGCTATTAGCGCTGCTATTGTGGCGTTATTTACCGCAGTTTATAACAGTGATTCACAAATTATGAATCATATAGACCCTATATTGTGAGCTTCTTCACTTAAAAATCCATATCCACATTTCATGTCTAGAGTTTTCACTCCGGCGGCTTTAGATTCCTATATATCCACTCTGGTTAGCAACTTGCTTGACAAAATAAACCATGCAGATTTGGGGGTCTGTTAAGGGAATTTAATGAATACATGAAGTACGTGATAAATTAAATGCTTTCTTTTGGCTAATATCCTAATTATGCGTTGTCTGCTTTTGTACTATCAATTGATGAAGTCATTCCACCCTTTGACCTATTTCTTTTTATCTAAAAAAATTGTACTAGTGAACTTGGGATCTCATCTTTAAATTTGCTCTATATTGTTTATAACCTTTTCTTTGTATCAATTTTCCGGATTTCTTTTCCTCGTTTGCGAAGAGTGCTGACATAACTTTCCAAACAGTTCCCTTGTAACATTTGTTTCATATGCATGTATTGTGTATATGCGTCTTTTGCATGAACGTGTGTGCGTGTTTGTGTATTGTGTAATTTAGTAGTGCTTTCCCTTTTTGGGTAGTTTATCAAGTCTGCATTCAGCATTTACTGTCTTATTTAGGCCGAAAGTTTCAAAATTTTGTTCTCTTGTAGGATGGTAAAGTTTCACAACTTGAGCATGTTTTCATTAGAGGCAGCAAAGTCCGGTAAGCTCATGGTGTTTGTTATCTTACCAGACTAAACATATGATAGTATTGTATTCTTGTACATTCTGATTAACATTGCGTACTGATATTCTATAGGTTCATGGTCATACCTGATATGCTGAAAAACGCTCCTATGTTTAAAAGATTGGATGCCAGAATCAAGGTACACAATGTACTTTCTTCCTTATCTAATTCTTGGCTGTGAATACTAGTTTTTCTCACTCTCATTTTTGAGCTAATGCAGGGCAAAGGTTCCGCACTAGGTGTTGGCCGTGGTCGCGCTGTTGCTATGCGTGCCCGGGTAAGATCTGTCTCATTAATTGATCGGTTTGCATTCTTTTTCGAATTTGCTTTAGTAACATTCTCCAAGTGTTATGATATGTTACTTTGTTAAGTCTCGTTTGGGATTGAAATGCCTTGCTGATTCCTGTCAAATGTTTCTTTCTTCGGTTATTTGATTAAATAAGTTTATGTATTACGAGAAACAAGCCACTGAAGATTATGAATATCAAAGATCCTTCTTTAGGTTCTGAATACTCATAGGCCGTTTTTTGATGTTTTGATTTGAAAGTCTTGTCATTCTGATCCCTCAGTTATGGAATTGCAGCCTAGTTCTGTTAATTATAAGGTTGACTTATGGAGTTAATTATGGGAACATCGTTGATTATAAAATAGGTGTTATGAAACCAAGTTGTACTATCATAGACTCATAGTAGAAATATCGCGACTCCAGTTTTAGATATTTTAGAAAAAATATGTAGTTCCTCCCCACCCTCACTACCCCCTTTCCCTCCATCCATCCTGTTCTCTATTGTAGTCAGATAACCTCTTGCCATCTCTAATTGTGTTGGAAGCTTCTCATTTCTTTCGTCAGTTTAGCTTATATACTTTTGCCTTTTTAAATGAACCAAACAAATTTAAACTTAAATGATGAAGGTTTGAGTAATTGGAACCTTAATACTGCTGTTGGCATTTTTATACATTGTAAATATTCATCATTTTCATTTGAGCCTTTCTCCATCAACAAGGTTTTCAATATGAACCAAGTCTCAAATCTGAGAAAGCACCAGAAAGGAATTGATCTTCTACGAATTGATGCCAAAGTCATTGATCAGCAAAAGAAGGCCTTAATAGAAAAGCCTTGTAGACAATCAGCCTATTTTTTTCCTGCTAAACTGATTTAATATTTTGATTTTTGATCAATGATATTGAAATGTGGCAAGATTTGTTAAGTAGAAGCCATGAAAAATCTTGAAATGTGCTTGGATAGGAGTAGACTGAGTAGTTTAAGATTGATGACCTGGTAATTTGTCATTTAGGAGCATTGCAAATTATGCCTCTCAGTAGATCAAACCGCAGAGTAAAGTATCATACCAAACAGGAATTCATGATAGCAGCTGTAGGTTTTATCCGTGAGTGCCTGCTGGGGTGGGGTAGAGAGTGGGGGTTAGGGGTTGGCATGGGAAGGGTTTTGGCATATATATTTGAAAGAAGAACAATGGAAAAAACGTTGTGTTTAAGCATGTGTTAAGTGTAGTAGAACTAGGAAGAGTAATTCCTGGGAAGTCCTCACATGGGAGGAGCGTTACAATATCACTATGCCATATCTAGCGCTTATGAAGGAGATCTTTATCATTAAAAAATTGCAAATTCAGTTTCATTTGTCATAGAAACTTTGCCAAAACTATGAATTTGTACTAAATAACTTCTGTAAAGTACATGCACAATGAAAACATAAGATTGATTTCAACATATTTTTTGCACGAACATTGCATGTCTGGAGATCTATAAATCCAAACGTGGTCTTGATGTCAATATCAATAAACTTTCTTTTATCGGTAAATCACTATTATAAATAGCGGTAAATAGCCCCGCAATAGCGGCGCTAATAGCGTTAGTGGTCCCTTCCCGCTACGCTATCGACGCTAACGCTATCGCTCAATAGCGGTGACATATTGTGGAATGTGTTTTCCGTTCGCAAAAGCGGTCAATAGTGTGCTATAACGGTAAATAGTGGGCGATTGCATACAAAATCCGTTTTTTGACTGCTATTTAAAAGCGGTTTGAGGTTTATTTTTTTAAAATTAAACCTGACCCTTGACCATTTTATTCCACCGTCTCGTGTGATTTTCGACATACTCCCACCACATCTCAGTTCTTCCTCTCACCTCCTTCACCGTGAGCTCTTCTTAAAACAGTCCTCTCACCACTTGGCTCTTTTTTCTCAAAGATGACTTTTTGACTCCCCCAATCATCTTCAGTATTATCTGATGGTTACATGTCTATTTCATATTTAGGATCTCTTTAAATCATTAAATATGTATTTTTAGATTTTTTTTAGATTTTTCTTTAATCTTTGTTTAGTATTTATACATATCTAAATTAGACCGCTATTTGACTTTACGCTTTTTACCGTTATTTTGTCATAATAGCCCTAAATAGCCTTAGCGATGCCTCACCGCTACGCGACGCTATCCGCTATTGATAACCTTGGGGTTAATTGTATTTACCCCTTCCAAGGTGTCAAAGAGTGGCATTTCCCCTCCTGAACTTTTTTTTCATCATTTATCTCCCGCAATGTTTCTACTTGTTGCATTTATCCGTCCTAAGACATATTTGGGTTGAAATTGCCTTTAAATTGTTTTATTTATCCTTTTGGAATTCGTGACATAGATATATTAAGCCGTCTTTTGTAATTATCTTATGATCTCATGTGCAATAAATGCTAATATGGATTATATATTTTCTCAATTTTCTCTTAGTTTTTAATTAATTAGAATTTATTATTTTCTGATATTCTCATATTCAATTTTTTTTCCAGAAATTTTCTGTCATCTAAATTACAAAGACTTGCTTAAAGTATTAAAGTCTTTTTTTTCTTCAAATGAAAACATTATTTTCATATGGACTTTAATCATTTTTCGGTTTTATTTTTCTGTCAAAAATTTGTATTAATATAAAATAATTTTAAAAAACAATTTTTTGGTTAATATATCCATGCAATGGATACCAAAAGGATCAATGAAACAAGTAAGGGGTAATGTCATTCTAAATATGTCTTGGGAGGGATAATTTCAACAAATAGAAACCTTAGAAGGGAGAACTGATGTGAAAAAAGTTCAGGAGGGGTAAATGCAATTTACCCTTCTCTTATTAAAGATAAGTTTCAACTCAGAAATATATTGTATTGCTGCAATCTTTGTCGCGATAAGCAAGTAAAACAGCATAAGAGGCCTTTAGCAATATACAAGTACCGTCAAGTGTCATTGACACAAGGTTGCGCATTCCGAAATGACAAGATATTGCTCTATCTTTGCTCTACCTGGACATGATGTTGCTTCGCCAAATCCCTTGGGTCATGTTATTCTGAATATTATTGAATCCCATTATATCTTTCAATGCAAAGGTATGCAGCCTTAATTTATGCCCATGGTTGTCATTGACCTTCCACCAAGTGGGCTTATTAATGTGGCTGTATTTTAACCTGATATTGGTTAATTTCTTCTATTACCATAAAGGACTTGTATTAGTCTATTTATGTTGTTTCTATCATATTCTTGGAAAAGGTATTGTCCTTTGAGATCTTATGTCTTCATCTCATGTTGTATGTCTTATTGGCATAAACTATTACCTATAATGGTAAATAATTGGTAAATTGTTTATGTTTTTTTTGAAGAAGGCACTACCTCCTTCTAACCTTTTTCTTTTAATGGATAAGAAGACACTTCGCAAATTGTGTCACACATTACAACTAGCCGAGCATATTATTGTGGAAAGTTGAGTTGCAGTGTTAAACTAAATGGGATGTGGTAGATTAATATAGTGAGTGCCGAACCATATGGCCGTAGATGCCTAAGTTTAGATAATTAAAAGAAAAGATAGATAATCTATGCTTTTAAAATTTAATAATTGTTTTGCTGAGAGGTTCTCAACCATTGATCATTTACAATTCATCCACATTATTCACCCAAACAAATCTCTAGGAATTCTCATGTAGTTCTAATTAACTAGTGTTTGAATTTAAATTGAATTATGCTTCCTTATGATATAAAAGTTGCTATTATTTTAAATTTCCTTAGGCTCAAGATCATTCAACTGGCCCTGATTTTGTTCTATTTTCCTTCACCGGTTCTTTTCCTTCTGATTGGACTTTTCTTCTATGATCTCGATTCTTTTTTGGTTGCCAGTGTTTTCCTTTCCTTTCTTATTTTCTTCTATTATTTTGTATTGGGTATTGGAGGAGGTAGCTCTCAACTTTTTTCCACCAGGTATGGATATGGGTGTGTCCCTGTGCATTGTTGTTAGGTGCTTTTGTGCCTCTTGCTAGTCAGCTGGGAGAACTTTTGTATATCAAGTGAATTCATATAAAAGATAGACTCCTAAAGTAGCAACTTGTGTCTTTTTTATTTGTTTTTCGGATAATATTGGTGTGAGGTTTGTCCCATCTTTATGTGCATTATAGATTAATGATGTATGGCATCTTGGAGATTGTGTTGGTAGGTCTCAAATGCATGCTGCTACTGTTTTCAGCCGTAAAACTTAGAGCTATTTAAATGTGCAGGCACAAGCTGCAGGTCGTGCAGGTGGCCCCCCTGGTAGAGGTGTAGTGCCACCAGTAAGACGATAGTCATCTTCAAGCGTGCCCGAATTTCCTTAACTTCTGCAGCGCATCATTTCTTGAGGGTCCTTTGGTTGTAGACCGAGACTTCTAGCAACAGTGTTGCTGTTTAGATGTAAACAAAGTTTCTTCACCTTCTACAACTGATTTCTTCTGTTGACCTCAATCAGTTTAGAATTTGTACTGCTTTCTGGTTCTTATGTCCCGTGTCAGTGCCTGGAGGTACTAATGTATTCTAGTTTTATCTGTGGGATTTGCAATATCATTTCTGCGACCTGATTGAGTTTGTTCTGCCACCATCATCAGATCTCACTTGCTCTACCACCTTTTTGTAACTGATATCCCAAATTATATGTGTTAACGCCAAACTCAGAACTCAATATTGTGATTGTGTGTACTTATGTACTCACTGGCTAGAGATTCTAAGGTGGTTCAATTGTGATCCTCTTGTAGTTATTAGCTGTTTTCTTTTTATGGATTGAGGTCACGCTGCCATTTTTGTCATTTGTGTAGCCTTTTTATAGTTTTTCATCACTAGTATTAGGGGAAAAGAAGTACAAAGAAAAACAAAATTTGACTTGCAATTCTTTAGTGCCCTCAGCTTTACCTTTGCCGCCAATGCAGTGTCGGAATACGCATCTTCTGAATGGTTACCTTTTATTTGGAAAAATGTTCGAATAACCAAATCTTTAATTAAAGGGAAAATTGCTTCCAGCCCCCAAAACAACACAGAACGTGCTCTGCCCCCCCAAGACCTTTTCAA